CTGCCCGTACAGAAGTAGTTTACTGCTTAGGAGCGACAATAAGCTAACTGAACTGGAGCAGTCTTGTCAACAGCATCCTACGTGAGGTCACGATGCTCCTTTTTCATCTGCGATGAGTAACAGCGCCTGTGCTTATCCATCCGTCTATCTGCAAAGCCCCACTGATCATCTCGGAAGGAGTAACAAACAACAGCCTCAGGTGGTTTTTCCAGTGTCCCGATCTGCCGCCAAACGTAAAAGCTGCCTGTATTGGATTTTGTGGCGGAACAACGCCAAGTTTTCTGCATAATCAAGCCATCTGGTCTACGATCTGAGATGATGCGTCATCGCTTGTAGCATCTTCATTATGCGACCAAACCATGACAGCTGCAATCCTGCAAGCCACAAGGAAAGGGTCGCAAGACTGAGGATACATCAAATTGCGGTGCCCTGAACTTTGCTGAGTTTCTTAACGCCTACCTCTGCAAATGCGGTGGAAATTTATGCGCTTCAATGATAATTTGCATGCTGCGACAACCTTGCAATAAAACGAGTGCCAAGGTAGGGGGAAACGCTATGAGAATATAGCCCACATCATTATCAGTTGCGTCATAATTGTGACAATCAACTTCCCACCGAAAGAAGTGCTGAACAACGCCATGGGTCAGTTATACCGTAAGCTCGTTACGGTGCCGGTCGAATTCACAGCACAGCCGTCTGGTCGATGGTCAATAAATTAAACGCCAGAATCGAAATTAACCGGAAGTTGATAGTCCATCATAATGCCTGGATTCTTAACTGTCCTACAAACTGGTCAGTCAATCCGTAAGAACAGTTATGCATAAGTCATCTGAACTGGATATTACCATAATGTCATTGTGTTCTTAGCATACATTTTCGCTTGTTTGCGTCTTTGTCTATGAAAATCTGTACATATATGATGCTGAAGAGTGTCGTTCGCTGGCCTTTACCGATTATTAAAAATTGAAATCTGAATTTATGCACGAAATATCAGTTTAATGCAGGAGCAGATTAATGAACATAATTACAAATCTCACTGTCAAAATAACCACCGCGAATTCAATGCAAAGCTGTTCGCTTGGTCGAGGGTGCCGACCTGGGAAAGCGCTCTTCTAATCGACGGAACAGGTAGGTTCGACCGTCGGTCATTGTCTTTCAAGGCAAAGCAGATGGGTTGGATCGGATGGTGAAAGCCAAAAAGTGGTTACAACTATGAACAGTCCTTTTCGTCGTCGCGATACCGTACACGCGTCAGAGCGACAACGATTCCGGTACCGAAGACGTGTTGACTTCCGTTCGCTCAGCATGGCTCAGGAACGACCTGCACATCGAAAACAACTCCATCGGCAGCGGAAACACGATGGTCGAGTTCTTCTCGGCGGATATGGTCACCAGCGTCTGAAGGTACCGCAGCTGAAGGGCGGCCGGCGACTGGCTGAGGATGACCGCCGCGTCCTTCAGTGCCCTGCTCGCCTTCTGTTCGCCGTCAGCAGCGATCGCCTAGAATAAAGGTTTAACACCGTGCATCGGGTCAGACACACGCACGACACGACCCAGTTGCCGTCGTGCCGTCCGACGTCGACCAACCGACCGACCTTCGCCCTGGCTTCTCGTGCTGCCTCGGCTTCGGCGGCCATCGCCCTCTGCAGCTGCACGGGCAACCTCACGTCCTTGATTTCCACTCGTTCCACCTTAACGCCCCATGGATCGGTCGCATCGTCCAGCGCAGTCTTAAGTAAGCACACCGGT